GACCACTCCCCAATATTCCTCACGTTAAACATACCATCCCTCCCACGGCCCAAGGGTTCATGGAAACTAAACCCTACCCTACTGCAAACAAAAAAGGTCCAAGACTCAATAACCAATACGATCAGGCTATACTTTAAAGAAAATAAAACCCCAGACACCACAGCCTACACACAATGGGAAGCACATAAAGCAGTAATTAGGGGGGAATTAATTAAATGGGGCTCACAAATTAAAAGAGAAAAAAACTAAGCAAAGTCAGGAACTCCTAGACAAAACTGAAAAGTTAGAGGAATCCGACAAACACCATATGTCCGAATCAATATACTGCAATCTCATTGCCCTTAGGACTGAACTCCAGGCAATACTACATGATAAAGCGAAAAAAGCCATCCTGTGGACAAAACAACAATACTACACGCAAGGAAATAGGTGCGGAAAAAATCAAACGACCAGATGAATCTGTCGCACACACTACGGAAGACATTGCTGAAACCTTCCGAAAATACTACACCACACTGTATAACTTGAAGGGGAGGGAACCCAGCACGGAAGAAATAAAAAATTACCTAGCAAACACAATAAGCACAACACTCCCCCCAGCAGCGACAAGATCACTAGAGGAACCATTCACCATTGACGAACTCAGACTGGTGCTGAAACAGACCCCACATAATAAAAGCCCAGGCCCTGACGGGTTCTCAGCAACGTACTACAAGACGTTCCAAACAGAACTTAACACACACTTACTGGAGGCGATAAACTCAATCCCACACGACAATCACATACCAAGCCAAGCCCTAGAGGCGACCATTACACTTATACCTAAACCGGGAAAGGACACTGAGAAATGTGCCAGCTACAGGCCGATTTCTCTTATTAATGTGGACGTCAAGATCTTCACTAAGATGTTGGAATCTAGACTCAAGCCCTTTCTCCAGGATCTAATACACCCTGACCAGGCGGGATTCGTTCCCTCCAGGGAAGCAAAAGACAACACCTCCAAAATCATAAATCTGATCAACCACTCATCCCTTACGCACGTCCCGACTCTACTCTTAGCAATTGATGTCGAAAAGTCCTTTGACAGGGTGGACTGGACCTTCCTGTTAACCACACTCGAGACACTAGGGTTTGGAACTAGATGGCTGCAATGGATAAAAGCAATATACTCCCAACCCACGGCGCGACTAAAGGTCAATGGCCAACTTTCCAGACCATTTAAGATAAGCAACGGCACCCGACAGGGATGCCTGCTATCACCACTCTTGTTTATATTGACCCTTGAACCCCTCATGCAGGCAGTACGCAGGCACCCCAATATACGAGGGATAGAGGTCCAGAATCAAGAGTACAAAGTCTCAGCCTTTGCAGATGACTTATTATTCACCATTGCACAACCATTAATCAGCCTTCCCCACCTGACGGAGGTGTTAAATAGATACAGCGAGTTATCCAAGTTCAAAATAAACGTAGACAAATGTGAAATCCTAAATATAAATGTGCCCCCTCACCTGGAGTAAAGACTGCGACAAGCTTACCCGTACCAATGGGCAAAACACTCCATTAAATATCTAGGAGTTCAAATTACTAACACACACAAAACACTATATAAAGCGAACTTCCCAGGTCTACTGTCAGCCATAAAAAAAGATTTAGACAGATGGGATAAACCACACTTCCGATGGATGGGATGTATAAATATCATTGCGATGAATATACTCCCTCTGATATTGTATCTCTTAAACACAATCCCAGTACACATACCAAACACCTTTTTCCGCTCAATCCAGTCAACTATCACATCTTTCATTTGGGCAAAAAAACGTCCCCGGATAGCTATCAACTTATTGACTAGACCCAAGGAAAAAGGAGGACTTGGATGTCAAAACATACAAAACTACCACAAGGCAATACACCTGGGAAGGATTCTAGAGTGGTCTAGAGACGGATCCAGGAAAGCGTGGGTTGACATAGAACAATCACAAACACAAACTCCCCTAAAAGAGCTATCCTGGACCCTAATCGACTAGAGGGGGCATTATACCACATGAGCTCCCCACAATATCAGCCACGCTTGAAGCCTGGAAAAAAATCCACCTAAACACGGAGTTCACTCCAACCCCCTCACCTAAATACCCCATATCATACAACCCCCTCTTCCCCATGGGCAGAAGTGGTATACTACATAATACCAATCTCACCCCATCAAGACCCAACACAATAACACTGGGGGAAATAATTACGGGAAATGGACTCATACCCCTTAAAAAGCTAACAGGTAAAACTCCCCCAACACTGGCACGAGCTTTCCAATACCACCAACTAAAACACTTCCTGAGCAAGGAAGGACTTTTACAATGGAAGCCACGCGAGGAAACGCGGTTCGAGAGGCTATGCGTCCTCCCACCAAAAAATAAAATAGTGACCACATGCTACCACATGATTCAGGACACTACTAATATATCCCTCCCCTGGTACATTGCAAAGAACCAAAAAGGGTTCTCAACGCAGATTGAAGAAAAGGTGTGGCCCAAAATCTTCACCAAAATGATGAAATCCCACTCTAGCATAATGTTACAGGAAATTAATTATAAGTTCCTCACGCAATGGTATACCACACCCTTAGACGCTAACAAAATCAGCAAGAACAACTCCCCCATGTGTTGGAGATGCGAAAAGGAACAAGGCACCTACCAACACATATGGTGGACATGCAGGCGGATAGTGGGATTCTGGAGGGAAGTGGCGAGGGTCACAGAAAAACTCAGTGGTGTCACCTTACCCTTCAACCCTGAAACCCTATTATTTTTTAATATACCCATATCTCTTAGCAAATTTAAAGGCTCACTTCTATACTACTTACTTACCGCTGCAAAGTCCGTGATAGCATGTCTATGGAAAACAAATAAAAGACCTTCTAGAAGGGAATGGTACGGGAAAATTTATAGTATACACAGGATGGAAGAATTGAGAATGATGACAATGGGAAGAACGAGCCAATATTTAAACACTTGGGAACCTTGGAACTCCTTCCTGAAAACCAAAAACACATAAAAATCTCGAAGGGGGAAAAACACGCGCACACACACACACACACACAGACAACAAGAGGGGACGAGAAGCGGGAACAACGACCCACACACAAACACAAATAAAAAGTCTCCGGTGAAAAATTTAGCAATTGTGCTAATGTATAAATTTAATTTTACAATTGTGCTAATGTATAAATTGAATGCAAAAATTTTACAATTGTGCTAATGTATAAATTTAATGCAAAACAATACATGCCAACTACACGATGCTTGTAAATACTTCTATACGATGTATGTATCACAGAATGTTTATGTATTCAACTGTCTAAAAGGTTCACTGTAAGAAACCTTATACGT